CTGGATATTTGGCAGGTTCAGCCTCATCACCCATGGCCGCAGCACAGACACCTCCTGTACAGTTTTCACACTCAGCGATGTCTGGGTTTTCCCAGTTTTCCCAGTTTTCGCAGGTCGGTGGGATAGTCAGTCATACACCTCCAGGGTCCTTATTCTATGGAGGTGCTTCATCATCATCAGCTGCTCATCAACCTAATGTACCTGCTCAGGACGACGAAGACGATGATGACGATGGTGACGACGACGACGACAATGATGACAACGAGGAGTCAGAACCAGTGATATGAAGAAATCCTCCTCGAGACCGACAACCACCGCCCTGCGGAACACATTCGCGGCGCAGGCATCGATAGATTTTTTTATTATATTTGTATTTACTTATTTTGTTTAATTGTAATTTTTTATTATTTCTCATTTAATACTTACTTTATTTTGTTAAATTTGTTGGACTTTTTTTTAATATATTTCAGTTAATTTTGTTTATTACCATTTAATATTAGTTATTGTAATTTGGTTATCATTTACCATTTAATTCTTATTGTAAGTTTGTTGTATTTAAATACCAAATTGTTATTAGTTTGATAAAATTTAATGATTGTGTTCGTTTTTTTAATCTTCATCAACGATTATCGAATGACATTAACTTGAAGTAAATGCAAATTAAAATAAAAGAATTATTATTTTGATAAACAAATACATCATTTCCTCATCAATTGTTACTTGATGACAACAGAAGTGGACATGTTTTTCTAGTGTGTCCTGTGTTTCTACAATGGCCACATCTTCTGTCTTGTCTAGATCTTTCTCGAATATCCATAACGCAATGAATTCGATTGGATTTTAGACGACCACACTCCCTCAATAAACTCAGATTTGGTACAATCGGAAGCCAATCTTGAACCTCATCAGGGTCTTTGTCATTACCTATGGGGGAAACTCAAATTCGTATACCTTAAAAACTTCAGATAGTAGGTATACGAGATCCACAAAATGGTTATAGTCTTGACGTGTATGCGAGCAAGCTACTATCACATGAGAGTATGGATACTTCAGAGCTTGAAAAAACCCGCAGTCGCACGTTCTGTCCCTTAGATTTACTCTTAACGACACAGCTTCAATCCCTTGAAGAGGTCGCGGCAACTCTATGACACGAAACATTTCATGTCTTCTTGAGAAGCTTGTTACAGACATTCCATTTGATGCAGCAATTTTTTTTCTGTAGATCTGCAACTAATCTAGGGTGATAGACATGACCGCCTTGCATCCAGGTTTGAGCTTGTCCCCCGAGCTTCGCAAAAAATGCCCCCAAACAAAAAATATATAGTTTTTACCAAAGCCGCTACAGGTAAGTGACGTGCACCCTTTAAGGTTGAATTGATTGCCTCAGCCAAGTTGGTCGTCATGTGCCTATATTAATATCCACCATCATATGCGTTCGTCCACATTTCTTTATCGATGAGGCTGATGTAATCGTATCCTTCCTCGTTCTTCGCCCGCAAATCTTGAAGCATTGATTCAAGCGTTCGAGGAAATAGTTCGTAACCTGATCAAAAAATGTATAACTTACTAACTTGCTTTCTTTGCAAAATTAAAATGATCAAAAAATGTATAACTTACTAACTTGCTTTCACTTACCCACGCGCACAATTAATTGACGCTCATCATTCTTCTTGTACCTTCCATGATAGTTCGCAGCAATGTGTCGGAGATAATACCTATGTTGGACAAAGGGTGGTTGCCACATTGGACCAAAAGACTCCATTGCTGCTTTGATCCCAGCTCCGCGATCTGAAATGACACAGATGTTTTCCCTCGTGATAACATGTGCACGTAAATTTCGGAGGAAAAAAGCCCAAGAATCTGTATCTTCTCCTTCGACGAGAGCAAAAGCAACTGGAAGAATATTACGATTGTCATCTTGGACAACTGCCAATAATAAAACTTGCTTGTATTTTCCATACAAGAAAGTCCCGTCGATATGAACCACAAGCTTACAGTATTTGGCAGCATTAACGCACTGTGGGTAACTCCAAAAAACCCGGTAGAATTGGCATCGATCGCGAAGAACTCGATCATTATGGTATGCATAGGAGGTTTCGAAGTCCACAATTGTCCTAGGATTCAATGTCCGCACCAACCTAAACCAACCTGGAAGTTCGTTGTAAGATGCATCCCATTCGCTATGAAGTTTGACAATGGCATTTTGTTTTTCCAACCAAGCTTTTTTATAGGAGACGGTGTACCCATACTGCGATTGTATAGGTGAAATCAACACTGCAACAGCTATATGAGAGCTTGCTTTTACCATGGGCATGATGGGTTGGCATATCATTTCAGAGTCCAAGTTGGGATGATCTTGGTTGACCCCTCCAGCACAACATGTGTGAGGACCGTTGTATATTGTTAGTTCCCATATGTTGTTTTTCCTCTTCATTTTCGATACGCTGACCATCCAATTGCATCCGTTTTCGCGTTGGGCACAGTAGCATACATATTTTTTGGTCGTCGATCGGTTGACTCTGGACTGAACAGAATTACGGATATTGTAATTTTTGATAGCCATCATCGCTTCTTCTTTGCTTGAAAACTCCATGCCTAAAGATAACTCACCATTATTTATTGATGAGTAATATCCATAGTCACCGAGATGAGGCATATCCGCAAATTCTGGCCCGTACATTGCACCATAATCAGCTTTATACATGTGTGTAGGAGGGTCAGTTTGTGCCACATTTCCTGGAACTTCATCATCATCGGAGTTGAATTGCGGTGATTCTGGGTGAATGAATAGTCCAGTCTCAACACCATCCGCACCAGGCTCACGAAGCGGTTCTTCTGGTGGAGATGATGGTTCCTCCATGCTCTCCATATTTAGGTCGAAGAACCTACTACTTGCACGCCTTCCCCTTGAACTTGAAGGCTTATCGACATTGAGATCGAAAAAGCTCACAGTCGAATGCCTCCCCCTGGAGCTTGAAGCCATCGTGTCAAATGCAAACTGCACAGATGGTTGCGTCGATGACATCTCTATATGGTCAAAGAAATTTGCAGATGAATGCCTTCCCCTTGAACTGGATGCGGTGTTACCATACAGATTGTTTGTTGACCCACTTCGGTACATATCGTAAGGAGTTGTGGATGAATGTCTCCCCATTATGGCATTAAAATCATTACACATTACTATAGTCGGGCTGTTAACTTGATCAACTTATTCAGCCAGCCCATAGTGTGAGCTTAAAGATTGACCCCGAACAGCACGCACTTGAACAAAATATGCATACATCTCAATAGCGGCATCTGAATAATTACTTTGAGCTTCAACCATCATTTGAACATCATCATTGTTCGAAAGTTCGAACGCTGTATAAGTTAATGGCAACAATGATGTTGGAAATCTGTACTGCAACGACGACATTCTTCTGTTACTTCCAACATAAATCTTCCTCGAAATCTTCGTTATCAGCTCCTCAAGAATTATGTTTCTCTTAAATGATATTTTAACATGCTCATTTGATACGAAAACAACGTCGGTTTCATCTTCTCAAATTTCACCATCATAATAAACAATAGCTGAAAGTCGCGCCATTCTTTGAGTTTAAAAGTGCGGTAATATTATATCTGCAAAAAAAATAACTTAAACAAACCTGATTAAATAAATTATATATGAACGAAAATATAACACAAATTTTTTTTACACATCAACGTAAATAATTTAAATAATATAATTTTATATTATTACCTGCACCGCAAAACTATTTCGACGTATGCTCCCGCTTTTCAATTTTACAAACATAAAAATTAATTAAAAATAATTAGTATAATATTTTTTCAAATAATGATAATAAAAAATAAGTATAATTAAAAAATTATAACAAAATTACCTTATAACGAAAAATCGCACGAACTTCTAAATCAAATATAAGAAGATTGCCAGAATTATTACTCGTTGACGGAATTGTTGTATTAATTTATAAGAGAGGAGAGATACGAGGAGATGTGAGGAGAGATGCGAGGTATTTATAAACATATAAGACGCGGTACCTACACCGCGTTATATGTAATTATTATATAGCGCGGATCAGGGACCGCATTAAATATAATTTTGGTACGGCGTATAGCGCGGCCCCTGATCCGCGCTATACCCCTACATGGCATATAGCGCGGAGCAGGGCGCGCGCTATACCCCACGTGTAACACAGTTAGCGAATAGCGCGGTACAGGGGCGCGCTATACCCACGTGGCACCAAATCAACGTATAGCGCTGTTCAGGGGTCGCGCTTTACTGCTACAGGTGTTAGATCAGAAAATATAATCTGACCGGTGTTAGATCGGTAAATATACCGATCACCGGTGATTTTTGGGGAAAATCGCCAAAATTTACACCCGGCTCTATCCAATATATATATATATTTCTTAATTTTATTAGGTGAAATAGGGACATAACTAAACGTATAGAGGGATATTATAATAATTTTTCTTAAATACATAAATGTTCATTATATTATTATTACTAGATTAAATCGAATCAGATTAGATATTTTCCACCTTAAATCTAAACTCGATTTAATCTGATCCTATCATTAAAAATGTCCAATCAAACTTCAATTTTCAAATAAAAAAATCAATCTTATAAGATCAAATCAGAACCTATCAAGTTCATACCAAATGTCCATCCTTAGGTTCTATTAACGAGAAAAAGTTAGGTTAATGCATTAAGCCTTAAACCCTAACCTAAAAGTATGATATATATTTGACCCTCCAAGCATCATTTAAAATAAAAAACCAAAGTAGTTAAAAGAAAAGCGGCACAGTAGTTAGAAGCTTAAATGTTTTAACCGCCAGCACATGAATACAATGATGAAGGGGCATCATTTAATCATCCCAACAAGCCAAAATGCTCTTCACTTTTAGATAAACAACATGGGGCAAGCAACTCACTTGGACATACTTAGTATACGTCCAAACACTGCCCATGGCCCTGTCTCAGAGAAATCTCACTATCAAGGCAACAACAGCAACCTCTTTTCATTCACACACTCCATTAATCCCATCAAACGAAGCATGCAAAGATTGAAAACTCGTACCGGGAGTGTTCCGGTTGAAATGGCTGCTGTGATTGCGAATCCTCCTGTTGAAATCGGCACCAGAGGCACGGTCGGATCCTTGATAATGCAAGAGATCGAGTACTTCAGCCAGCTCGAATTAGGCTGCAAGGATGGCCCGAAGAAGCCTCGTTCCAATGTTGGGCCAGTTGCAGCAACTCGGAAGAAGAAAAAGAGAGGAAGCAGCAGGCTAATACCGAGCATGTGTTCCATGGTGGAAATTTCGGACAACAGGCCTGTTGGGGTTTCAGGTTTCGGTTACCGGAACCTGTAATCCGATGTTAAGAAATTGCAGGTCTAGATAAAGCTCTTGGAAAGCTTAGAGAACCCGAGCTTCTTGAGTCGATTCTTCGCGGGCTCGACCGTGCTCTACCGGGATGCTTCCCATACTTTATGTCCACAAAATCAACAATGTTACACGCTTTTTTGTTACTTTTCTGTCTGCTAGGAGTTCTATCTAAAGCAACGTCAACAAAATCAAGCATTGGAATCTGATGGGGATTTTTGGACAAGCTTTTATAACTGTTGTTGCTGCCATTGCCACTGGTACTTGCTCCATCCAAAGATTTCCTCAGCTTTGGTCGTTTAGGAGTCGAAGAACCGGAGGCGATCAATGCCGGAATTTTCTGAGATTTGTGTCCAACAGACACCGGTGTCTGCTGTGTCGGTTTAACGGAGTCCAGTTCTCTTGTCATCAGGGAACTGGTTGTCCCTTTAGTCCCCACCTTGTTTGATCCTCCACCTCCCTTGATAGCTTCTAGTTCTTGAACCATGTTTCATTTTATATTTTTAAGATGTTGTTAGCCTTACAGAGCCTGTTTTGCAAGAAAGACAGCAAATCCATAAATGTAAGAAGAAAATTCCCAGTTAATCCATATGAATATGGAACTGCAGAGTTCATCTTCAAACTGAGTTTTCCATATTCTGCATCAAAATCCCATCATAAAATAAAAAAGAAAACATTGATCCCCACCAAGAATCAAGCAGAAACAGCACCAAATACTTGTGAAAAAGTAAGAACATTCACCAAATTTCAGGCAGCTAACAAATCATGAAATCCAAAAGAAGAAAAACTTTCGAAAGATCCCAACTACCAGTAATCATTACACAGTTAAAATCTGACACAAACAAGTTAAACACTTTAAGCAGGTCATTGAAGGTTCACATAAAAGAAAAGGCTTACTCCTTTACATAACACCAAATGCATTAAAGTGTGAACTATCAGCAACTTTGAAGATGACAGGTTGAATTGAAAACACAACTAAAAAAGTGAAACTAAAACTTTTAAAAGAAGAAACAAAACCCATCAAGATTTCAAGACTTAAAAGACTAAGACCTTTGAATGAAAAACTATACCATCTTTAGAAGAACCATGTCTAATCTTCTGGGCATTTGAAATCTAAGTTTTTGTGCAATTGTTTTATGTCTCATTGATTTCTTGTCAGACCAGTACACCAACACTGTTGATAATTTTATATTAAAAATCTCAAATAAATAATTATTTTAAAAAATAGGATCCTCTAAAAATTATTTGAAATAATAATCTTAAATCGTCTGCATCGAACGACCTCACGGTCTACAAACCGCATGTTAAATCATCGCATCCTCCAACACAGGAAATACATCTGACCTAAGTGTATTTTCCAGATAAGTCAATAAAACAATGGGATAAAATGACCTCGCGCATTGTGAAGTGCGAGGTAGCCTTTATGATTCAAAATATCACGAGATTTATGGGGATCTCGTTGCCTGCAAAATGCGAGTTTCTTTCGAATTTCGTATAGCATCATAATTTAAAAAGTAGAAATTAAATTAAACTAATAAATAAATATAATAATAATTAATAATAATATTAATTATTAAATATAATAAATAATTAAAATATAATAATATATAAATATAGTAATTAAAATATATATTTTATAAAAAATTAATTATAATATATTTTGTAAATTTTAAAATAATGAAAAATTATATGTGTAAAATAGATATTTTATGAGGACCTCGCGTCTTGCAAACCGCGAGGTACTGGAACGAAATAAATTTCGCGTGTTTTCAACGTAATTCACATCTTGTAGGACACGAGTTGCATTTAAAACAACACTTCTTCATGTGTGAGAAGGGCTATAAATAGAGCACTTCACTCCTATTCATCACCACACCATCTATTTCATATATTCACATATTCAAAGAATTCATATCATGGCAAGGAGTCTATTAAGATATGATCGAAGTCACGTATTCGATTATTGGAGGTGAAATGATGAGGTAAATTAATTAATATTATTTTGTATTTTTACTCTTTATTTATTTATTTATTTTGGTATTTAAATAATTTTTTAATATTTATATTTTGTAGAAATATGAATGTGCATTAGAGTGTCATATAAATCGTGTAACACCACCCGATGCGGATATTATTGACTATTTATATTTAGCAGGTTTCAATTATATCAGTAGTATAACTGGTGACGGTGTGAAGTTGCATTCTCCACTTATAAATGCATTGGTGGAAAAATGAATACCAGAGACGCACACGTTTCATTTACCGTGTGGGGAGTCAACTATTAACCTATAAGATGTTACATTTCATATGAGATTGCTTATTGATGGAGTAGCTAATTCTGGTGTTGCTTGCGCCTCTAGAAATGTATATAAAGTATTGCTCGGAATTGATCCGCCTGATGATGCACGAAATGGTGGAAAAATAAAAATTACATTTTTGGATGAAAATTTTACGAACCTACCCCAGAATACGGAGCATGAAGTGAATGAGGTAAATATAAATGTTTTTATCTATGAAATATTTATTAATATTTCAATTTATTTATTTAATTTTTTAAAAATTAAGTAGTTATATTATTTCATTAATTTTTGAAACGATTTGCTCGTGTGCATATACTACAAGTTATTGGAGGATTTTAATGTCAGATAAATCTTGAAATAAGGTGCATATGATATGGTTGAATCATTTGTAAAATTTGAGTGATTCAAGAAATATAAGTTGGGAGTCAACAATTTTGGCATTTTTGTTCCGGCAGCTTTGTACAGTCGTAAATCCGATGAAAAATGTCATTGGAGAGTGTTTATTATTGTTGCAGTCGTGGGCTTGGATCCGAATGTCATTTTTATGTTCGATCCTTAAAACACATGTCTCATATGAATTTTTATTACTTAAGAGGTAAAGAAATAATTTTTTTCTTTTTTTTATAATATTACTAACAAATAATACAATTATATTGTATTAATGATAAGTGGACTGATGAAACCTCTCATCCCACTTACCAACATATTAACGAGACTTCAGACTCTTGATCGATAAATTTGGACATCAGGTAATAAAAGATTTTCCTTCGACTTTTATCTTATAATTTTAGAATAATTTAATTTATTTGAGATTTTTAGCTAACAAAATTATGTAATTTTAATTTTATAGTTCTTGTGGACACCTTACTACGATGCTGCTTTTGCTGACTGTATATCGCATGAGATTCGAGTGATTATTACGCCCGTGTACATCATGTCAGTCCCGCTGATCTTGTATGAGATAGTTAAGTGGCAACTTATATGTAGGATTTTTTGTGACGAGGATTAGATCAAACATCAAGAAAGAATCGGACAACCGAAATTATGCTTTATATGTAGGAATCCCGAACACACGAAGAACAAATGTCCCGATCGCTCATACCCACGTATCAATTAAATGGAATTTTTGCATTATTTTTTTTAATTAACAACACATATTACTTAGTTTTCAAATTTCTTTTGATTTCTTTACGCACCAAATCAAATATTCCAACCTTTTCCAACACTATTTTTATTCCATTAAAATATCTCGTATGTGACCAAATTAGCCTTAACATGAATATAAGATGAATACTATACCTCTAAGCATATAAATTTTGAAATTACTCATATTTACAAGTCAGAAATAACACTCCAATATGTTTATCAAACTATTTTTTTCTTCTTCCTTCAAAAAACCATGATTTCTAACTATTTTCAACGTCATTTTTACCATTCTTAAAATGTCTTATATATGATGATATTATAGTCATCTTAAATATAAATTGCAACACTACGCGTTTATAATTAAAAATTTTAAAAATTTAATTTTCCACCCAGAAATAGTATCCGAAAAGACTATGGACACTAAAAGGAGGGTAGGGAATCTATTGTTCTCGTGCTTTTTAGGCTGCGATGTCATCCATAAATCTCGCGATATTTTGGACCATAAAGGCTAACTCGTGCTTCGCTATACATGAGGTCATTTTATCCAACTGTTTTGTTGGCTTACCTGAAAAGTGCGTCCACCTCGGATATATCTCGCGTGTTGAAGGGTGCGATAATTTAACACGCTATTTGCAGGCCGCGAGGTCGTTCGATACAAACGATTTGAGGGTTATTTTTCCAAATAATTTCTGGATAGTCTTATTTTTTAAATAATTATTTATTTGAGGTTTTTAATATAAATTTGACAATCATGTTACAGCAAGAAAAAACATGAGTTGCTAGTCACCAACCATGTTCCAATAACCAATGATAGCTTGTCATTTTATCTATGGATGAATAAATGTTTACTTTGAGTGCTACCATTGCAAGACAAAGATGAAGGGCATTTAGCATGTGAATGAGAATTAAATTTGATTTGATACCCTGGAAAATGATTCTAAAGGTATGTTAGAATTGTAAAATTCTGGTTATAACAATCTTGATTTTAATGAAGGTTAAACTCTGGGGTAGTTCTGCAGTCTAATATAAAATTAAAGAAAGACATAACCGAAAATGTTAATATTTTTTAATATTTTCGGTAGAGCGTTATTTAAAATGTTAATTTCGTTACCTAATATGTTAATCTTTTAACGTTTCCAGTTGCAATTTCCTACCGAAAATATTAAAAAATATTAATATTTCTGGTTACGTATTTTCTTAACCTTATATTAGGATGTATTTCCTTAGACATCCTCAAACTCTGCCATTATTTCTTACACTATGTATAAATTGTAGCTTATACCATGTTGTAAGGGTTAAGAGTTAGCAAATCTAGATTTGATTTGAAAAAATTGATTTTTTTTTGATTCAATTCGAAAAAAAACTTAACTCAAATTGATTTCATTTATAATTTTATGAACTTTACTTGAAAAAAAAATCAAATTCAAGTCGATTGGTTTTCAAGTTCAACTCGAATAACTCAAACTTTTAATAATTAGTAGATTAGTTTTTACGTTCGAGTCGAGTCTCTCAACGTTGTATGATATATGCATATCGTATATAATTATAAAAATCGTTTATATCAAAAGAAACCCCTCCTCTCTTTCTTAACTAACTCAGCTTTCACTGGCCCTTAAGCATTACTCCATCTCTCAAAACCCCACTTTTCTCAGGTCTCCGATTCTCTTTCTTCATCAGTTTCCCCAATGTATGCAAAATCCCATTTTCTTATTCACAAAACAATATGATTTCCTAAAAGAACCCCATTTTAGTCTCTACAATCACTCTACAGAAAACTTCCCATTTCCTCAAGATCCCATCTCCCCCCCTTCGTTTGCTCCCATCTCTTGAACCCCATTTCCTCAAATTCTCATCTTTTTCTCCTTGTTTGATTTTTAAAACCTCATTTAATGGAAAACCCGCTGTTTTTTTCTTTTTCTTTTTGAAATGAGTAATTCCCAAGCACCCAAATCAACAAAGCCTTCAAAGGCTTCAACTTTACATACTTCAAACCCTCCAAAACCCTCTTCCCTTTCTACTCATCTGGAAATGGTAGAGCTAAAACAAAGGATTTTAGCCTCACTTTCCAAGCTCTCTGACCGCGACACTTACCAAATTGCCGTTGAAGATCTTGAGAATATCATCCAA